ATGGCTTGTGCGTTTTTTCCTCACCACCTTGGGTAAGTCCTCCTGGGCGGGCCTCATTTTTCTTGCTTCTTGGTCCCCAGGTGTTGTGTCCATCCAGACCAGACCTCCCTCCCAGCTCCACCACAGTCAGATGGGACTTTCTGCAGAAGCAGATATCACCCCTCATCCTGCAGTTGACCCTCTGTGGGCTCCCAATTGCCTTGGGGTGTTGGGGACCAGCCCAGCCCTCTCCTGCTTCATCCGGGGCCATCTGTCTCCGCCTCCCTCTGACCTGGGGCTGCCGGACGCATTGTTCTCCACCTGACCTCACTCTGCCAGAGGCTGTCCCTCAGCTACACCCAGTCCCAGGACAGACAGGTGCACATCCAAGTGCCTGCCCATTGGGACATGAGCCCAGATGGGGATGGCAGCTCTTTCCCACTCACCCTCTCAGACCTTTCAGTGCTTGGGCCATGAATGAGCTGAGAGGGGCTCATCATTTTGTTTTGTTTATCCTCATCCCAGGATTTTTTTCCATTGATTTTCAGAGAGAGTGGGAGGAAGTGGGGGAGGGGGAAGGGGGGAGGGGGGAGCGGGGAGGAGAGATGTGAGAGAGACACATCGATTGGTTGCTCCAACCCGCAACCCAGACACATGCCCTTGGTTGGGAATCGAACCCGAGAACTTTCGGTGCATGGGCCAGTGCTCTAACCACTGAGAACAACAGCCAGGGCAAAAGGTGCTCATCTTTGACCCCTCTTCTTTGCCTACCAAACAAGTTACCAGACTCCTGGAGAGCCCGCCCCTTGCCCTGGCTGTGGGGCCTTGGCACATGGTTCAGTCCTTGAAACCTCAGGGTCCTGATGTGGAAATGTGGGGACCACCTAGTGCCTGCCTACCTCCAGGGCCGCTCTGAGGCTCCCCCAGGGGCTGCATTGAGCCGAACACTGGGCCACTGCTTGTGCTTGGTGGTGTTGGTCTAGCATTTGGGGGCCAGCACTCAAGTGCTGGGGTAATGCTCTCTGCCCACCCAAGATGGCATCAGAACAGACTCCCCATTTCATCCTGAGGCAAGGAACTTGAAGTTAGAACTTGGCACATCACACCCGCTGCAGCTTCTAGGGGCACCGCTTTCCCTGTGTACCTGTCTCACGCACGTGGGCGGTGGGTGTTTATATACTGTGTTCCTGTGTCCAGCAAGGGGGTGGAAGGCAGACCTGATATGATGATGATGATGACCTGGGTCTCATCTGGGTCCCTTCTAGGTGCTTAGCCTTGTGCTGTAAGCTCTAAATGGTTCCACCTCACACAGGCCCACAGTGGGGGAGGGAGCAGGGAGGGCAGTGCCCCTGAGATGAGGAAACTGAAGTGCTGATAGGTTAAGGGACGTCAGACAGTAAGGCCTCTTTACTCAAAAGTCCACCTGTGCTGAGCTGGGGATATGAGAGCTGTTAAGCAGGCCAAGAAGCAAATGGGCGTAGGCAGCCTGGCACAAGCACGGGCTGGCTAACGGGGGAGGCGGTTGGGGACAGGCAAGAGGCATCTTGTTGAGTTCGTAAAAATATCACCCAGTCCAGAGCGAGGCCAGGTGCACATCCCCAGAAGGCACTCCACAAGAGACGTGTGTGTCGACATGGAGAGCCATTAATGCACTCTCCTTGGGTTGGGCCACGGACACCTGCAGCCTATGTGCACACACCTGCAGCACAGGTGTCCACATGGTGTCTACAAGGAGGCCCTGCCGGTCTGCAGGTGGGCAGCAGGGAGATGCGGGCTCTGAGCACTCCCACCTGCCCTTGCTCAGACCCTAACTATGTCCGAGGCAGGCAGAGTGGGGTTTATTTTAATGTGTGTTGCCCAGGAGAGAACTGAAGCTCAGAAGGGCTCGGGTCTTGGCCTGGGGTTGCACAGCCAGCAGGGAGTAAAACCGAAATGTGGGGTGGTCAGCCTGCAGTTCCATTTCCATCCACCCTCCTTCCCTACCAGTGAGTGGCAGCCTCTCAGTCCACTCTGTCTACCTGGCCCTGTACTGGACATGCACCAGGCACCCCCTTACCTGGGCATCAGCTGTCTCCCTGCCAGAGGCGTGGCTTCCCTGGCTACAGCCCTTCGGTCCCTGTGTCTGCAATGGATCCTTCCTGCTCAGAAAGTACCCCTTTCTCTGCCTCTGGCTGCCCCCAGCCCCTCCCCCCCAAACCTGCTGGTTGCAGGCTGTGATCGGTTCTGAGCTGTGATCAGACTCGGGAAGCCCTGCAGCCCACCCCCATGACTGGAGGGCTGCTCCTACCCTCCTGGGGTGTCTCATTTGAGCCCCTTTATGTCCCAGGTTTGGGGCAGGTCTTGGCCCCAAGTTGTGTGGTCAGAGTTTGGGTACTTTCTCCAGGCCCCCCTCTACCCTATATCTGAACTGACTCCTCTCCCCAGTCTTCACAAGAACACCCCCCCCCCTGAAACTGGCAATGGTATTGGGGTGCAGATCCCTGGCTGCCCTGGGGTGAAACAGACGTGGCGGATTCTGCCGATGGCAGGTGCTGGGGTCCAACGGGCCTTCCCGAAGTCGCTGGCTCCCAGCGCCTGGCCAGTCTCACGGGGCCCTCTGTCTGCAGGGGAGGATGAGAAGCTGGCGTCCCTGCTGGAGGGGCGCTTCCCGCGGAGCACGTCGATGCAAGACTCTGGGCGCGAGGGTCGTGGCATCCCGCCCCCGCCGCAGACCGCGCCGCCGCCCCCGCCCGCGCCCTATTATTTCGACTCAGGGGCGCCCCCCGCCTTCTCGCCGCCGCCCCCGCCGGGCCGGGCGTACGACACGGTGCGCTCCAGCTTCAAACCTGGTCTGGAGGCGCGTCTGGGTGCGGGGGCCGCTGGCCTGTACGAAGCTGGCGCGGCCCTGGGCCCGCTGCCCTACCCGGAGCGGCAGAAGCGCGCGCCATTCTAAATCATCCTTCAGGATTGGGCCCCCGAGGCGGGAGACGCCCGGCCCCCGCCCGCGGCCACCCCACCGGAGCGCCCTAAGCGCCGGCCCCGGCCGCCAGACCCCGACAGCCCCTACGCCAACCTGGGCGCCTTCAGCGCCAGCCTCTTCACGCCGTCCAAGCCCCAGCGCCGCAAGAGCCCGCTGGTGAAGCAGCTGCAGGTGGAGGAGGCCCAGGAGCGCGCGGGCCTGGCCGTGGGCAGCCCGGGCCCGGGGGGCGGCAGCTTCGCCCGCGACCCCTCCCCGACGCACCGCGGGCCTCGGCCCAGCGGCCTCGACTACAGCCCTGGGGACAGCGGGCTGGCGTTCGGGGGCCCGGCCAAGGACCGGCGGCTGGAGGAGCGGCGCCGCTCCACCGTGTTCCTGTCGGTGGGCGCCATCGAGGGCAGCCCCCCCAGCGCTGACCTGCCGTCCCTGCAGCCCTCCCGCTCCATCGACGAGCGGCTCCTGGGGGCCGGGGCCGCCACCGGCCGTGACCTGCTGCTGCCCTCGCCGGTCTCTGCTTTGAAGCCGTTGGTCAGCGGCCCGAGCCTTGGGCCTTCCGGCTCCACCTTCATCCACCCGCTCACCGGCAAACCCTTGGACCCCAGCTCGCCCCTGGCCCTGGCGCTGGCTGCCCGGGAGCGGGCGCTGGCCTCCCAGACGCCCTCCCGGTCCCCCACTCCTGTGCACAGCCCTGACGCCGATCGGCCTGGGCCCCTGTTTGTGGATGTTCAAGCCCGCGACTCCGAGCGAGGAGCCCTGGCTTCCCCGGCCTTCTCTCCGAGGAGCCCCGCCTGGGTTCCGGTGCCTGCGCGCAGGGAGCCCGAGAAGGCGTCCAGGGAGGAGCGGAAGTCACCTGAGGACAAGAAGTCCATGATTCTCAGCGTCCTGGACACGTCCCTGCAGCGGCCCGCCGGCCTCATTGTGGTCCACGCCACCAGCAACGGGCAGGAGCCCAGCGGGCTGGGGGCTGAAGAGGAGCGCGGGCACGCAGGCACCCCGGAGCTGGCCCCTGCACCCACACAGTCAGCCGTGGTGGCAGAGCCCCTGCCCAGCCCACGGGCGCAGCCCCCTGGCAGCGCCCCAAAAGAACCTGGGCCCGGCCAGGGCAGCTCGGAGGAGGAGCCAGAGTTGGTCTTTACTGTGAACCTGCCTCCCGCCCAGCTGTCCTCTAGCGACGAGGAGACCAGAGAGGAACTGGCTCGCATTGGGCTGGTGCCACCCCCCGAAGAGTTTGCCAACGGGCTCCTTCTGACCACCACACTGCCTGGCCCAGTTCCCTCACCCGCCACGGTGCCAGGCCCGGCCTCAGGGAAGGCGAGTAGTGAGCTGCCCCCCGCCCCTGAGTCTGCAGCTGACTCGGGAGTGGAGGAGGTGGACACGCGCAGTTCCAGCGACCCCCACCTGGAGACCACGAGCACCATCTCCACGGTGTCCAGCATGTCCACCCTGAGCTCCGAGAGCGGGGAGCTCACTGACACCCACACCTCCTTCGCTGATGGACACACTTTTCTACTCGAGAAGCCACCAGTGCCTCCCAAGCCCAAGCTCAAGTCCCCGCTGGGGAAGGGGCCGGTGACCTTCAGGGACCCTCTGCTGAAGCAGTCCTCGGACAGTGAGCTCATGGCCCAGCAGCACCATGCCGCCTCCGCCGGGCTGGCCTCTGCTGCTGGGCCTGCTCGCCCTCGCTACCTCTTCCAGAGAAGGTCCAAGCTGTGGGGGGACCCCATGGAGAGCCGGGGGCTCCCCGGGCCCGAAGATGACAAACCAACTGTGATCAGTGAGCTCAGCTCCCGCCTGCAGCAGCTGAACAAAGACACACGCTCCCTGGGGGAGGAGCCGGCTGGTGGCCTGGGCGGCCTGCTGGACCCTTCTAAGAAGTCGCCCATCGCGGCAGCTCGGTGAGCAGGGCAGCTGGGGAGGGTCCTGTCCCATGTCCACGGGCCTCCCTGTCTGCCTCTTGTCCATCATGGTTCCATCTGTCCCACCCCTGCCTGTCCTCCTGTCTACCTCTCTGTCCTTCATCTGGCCTTGCTTCATCTGTCTGAGGCAAGAGGCGCTCTCAGGGGATCTGAAGTGTCGGGGCTGCTGCTCTCCCCACCCCTTTGGTGCTGAGAGTGGGAGCAGGGTAGCCGTCGGAGGTCCAGGCTGGGGGTGAGCCCCCGCTCCACAACTCTCCTGGAGGCTCCCGCCTGGGGGTCCTGCAGCTCTCCCTCACCCTGGACCAAAGCGGCTCTGCTGTTAAGTGGCATCTGTGGCCCAGTCCAGAGTCGCACCTCCCTGCCCTGTTTGGCTTCCCTCTGGCCCTGGGTCCCCCCCTCCCCCCGCCCCCCGTGGCCACGTGGCTGCCATGAGGCCGGGACGCCTTCATGTAGCTTGTGTCTTGCCTCGTGTCCTTTTCCTTGGGGCACCCACACCAACTTTTTGTTTTCTGTCCCAGAAACATTTCTGTCTCTCAGCACCACCTCGGAGTCTCTTAGACAGACTGTGGAGTTTTGAAGGTGCATGGAGAAGCCGCCCTTATATGGAAGCCACTCCATCTCCCTGCTCCCTTCATCTGGCCTCTTGCCTTCTCTGACCTTCCCCGTCCCTCTGTCTGTCTTAGTTTCCCACCTCCTGCTCAAGGTGGGAACTTGAAGGGGCCATCCTTTGCCCTGGTTGGGTTTTCCCCCCATGGAGACCCCTGTGGCTCCTTGGGTGCTGGTCTGAGGCAGAGCTGGTCACTGGTTGACCCTTCTTTGCCCCTAAGGACCCCCCACTTCTTGTTACCTTGACCAAATGTAGCCAGCCTTTTCCTGTCCACTTGGAAGGCAGAGTTCACAAAGCAGTGAGGGTTCAGGTGTCACTCACAAGGGCTTGTCTTATCTGTCTTCTTCCAATTCAGGATTCAAAGGATAAGTGGGGGTTTGGGAAGCTCTCAGTGCCGGGCAGAGATCCAAGAGTGTGGCCCCGCTCCTGTCACCCCAGGGGCTTGCTCTGGGACCTTCTTCCCGTTTGTCCTCTTCCATCTCCCAGTGGCATGTGAAAGCCCCCTTCCTGGCAGGGCAGTGTTGAAAGTGCCCTCAGAGCAGGCATTGTGAGCATGGCCGGTGTCCAGCTGGGATGAGGACCTGGAGGTGTGGGCTTCCCTGACCAGCCTCAACCATCCCCATCCTCTCTGCTCCTCCTCCCTCTGTGCCCCTTGGTCCCGATGAAAATCAAAGCCATTTAAAGTGGGTAGCACAGTGCCTGGTACAGTGCAGACCCTCAATAAACATTTGCTAAACAGATGAAAGAATGAAGCCCAATGCAAGTGCTGTCTTTTGTGCTTTGAGATCTAGGGAGGTGGCTCAGGACAAACCCCACAGGACAGATGTGTGGCTCAGATTTACTGGTTGTCGAGCCCAGATTTTGTCATTCTCTGTGCTGGCTCCCATGGGACAGCTGGGGCTGTCACAGGGCGGGGGGGAGGGATTGCTCAGCTGGCCTCTTCCTACTTGCCCTTCTCTGAACTCACCATCCCACAGGTCATCCTCAGCATTTCTCCCCTGTCAGCATCAGGGGCTCTTGTCCCCTGGCTCTGGGTTGTGCCAGAACCCTGTGCTCATTTCATTTCTCAGACATGGGGTGGGAAGGCACGTTCTTTGCATCTTGTCTGTTCTGCACCCACTGGAAAGTGAGCCTCCTTCACTCAGTAGTTGCTGCAGAATTCCATCTTCTGATTCGCTTCCCATGGTTCCCTGCTCTCCCCTGAGCCGATCACTGGGGCCAGGGAGACACGGCTGTCATCGGCCAGGCTTGTCCCGGAAGCCTGGGCATGGGGTCCGCCCAGCTAGTGAGCTGGCGCTGAGAGGGACAGAGGGAGGTTCTCCAGGGAAAGTCAGGTGCTGTTTCCAGAGGTACAGGTGCCAGGCAGCCTAAAACAACAGACATCCTTGTGACATGGCCTTCACCAACTTCGGTAACTCACTTCATTGCCTGACATCAGCTTGGGGTCACATGGCCCTGGATTTCAACCCTCAGCAGGTTGCATCTGAGCGCTGTCATCTTGGACAAGCCACTTAAACGCTGTGAACCACAGTCCCTCTCCTGTGAAATGGTGGGGATGGCAGGCAGCGCCCCCTGCGAAGCTCCGCGCCCAGGACTGCAGTGTGGCAGGCTCTCGTGACTCTGCTACCATTGGCCCCCAACGTGCAGCCAGGCTAATTTTCGAGTCCTTGTGGGGAAATGCATGCTGGGCGTGACCCGAGAGGATGTCGTGCCATTTCCGTTCATCCTTGCAGCCACTCTGCTACCGGACACTGACAGTCTCCATGGCCAGACAGTAGAACTGACGTTCTGAAGAATGCATTCCAGCCAGGAGGTGGCGGCATCTGTCTGACCTGGGTCCTGCTCTCTGTCCACCATTGGGAGCCTCTGTTCCCAAAACCCTCCTGGCGACAGACTTGGGGTTTATGTACAGTCGTCTCACACAGAAGCGCATGCACCCATTCTGTGGTCGGCACTATTTATTAGGAGTGTGTAACCAGTGCACTTGTGCTCTGAAATCCCTGCACTGGAGCCCACTCAGTGCCCCCAAGCTGCCAGGTGCCTGAAATTGCCTCTCCCTCGCATCTCCCTGGGTTCCTGCTCACACTTCCTCCCTCTCCCTTTGCTCCCCTTTCTGCCCTCGGAGCAGGGTGCCGTGTGCCGTGTGCGCAGGGCACTGTGGTACACGGGATCATGTTCCCCGTGGCTGGCAGTGGCTGGGTCCTGTCGGGGCTGCTCTTGTCCTACAGACAGTGGTGGCTAGAGTCTGGCAGTCATTTCTCATTCAGTGACAACACTTCTGCTGGTCCTGCCTTGGAGACAAATGTCCAGGGAGGCTCTCTCCTTCCCAGGACTGTTCCTGGTAGAGGCCCCAGGCACTGGCCATACATCACACTTCTGCTCCCTGTCCCAGTCCCACATGTGTTCTAGACCCACCTCTGTCCTAACCTGTCAGACACGCCCCTCTCTGCCCACCTTTCCCACTCAGTGGGTGCCTCAGTCCAGGTTCTGATGTCCTTTAGCCACAAGAGACTCTGGGGCCTGAGATCTTTATGGGCGAGTTCAGCCGCCCGGTGTGTCATGGATCTGAAGCTCGGTAACTCGTAGGAATGATCAGCCCATTTGCTGGGGGCATTCTTTGTTTTTTCGGGCGAAGGTGAAGGATGCAGCTGCTGGTTACTGCCTGGAAGGTCCAGGACCTTTGGCTTGGGGGACACTGATACCAGGCCATCCACCTGCTCTGTGATCCCAGCTTTGGGTCTAGCCTGGGGGACAGAATGCTTGTCTGCTCAGAGCCCACATTTTCTCTGAGGTCCCCATCTGCCTGAACTCCATTTGTCTTCCAGGCTCTGTGGTCAGATCTGCCCCCCCAAGTGGTGTGGGGTCCACAGCGTCTCTGAGCCCCGCAGCAACACTCAGTTCTGCTCTGGCTGTTTCACAGCCGTATGGCCCTCACATCTGGCTTTATAGGGGACAGTTTGTAGCGACATAGCTTGGGAAACACCAAGTTAAAAGGTTTCTTCCCTGCAGTACTTCTTAATGCCTTTGACATGTTGTGTGCTGTAGTCCCACGCCTGTCAGCTTCTTCAGTAGATCACTAGTTAGTGCCTCACAAAAGTTCCTGAGATGCCAAAGAAACCCTTTCCTACTGGGCCCCGTCCTGTTCACATGTGTGACAGGGATCTGGAGGAAACCCCGTGTGACTGCAGGGCTAGTTCTTCTGAAACCTGGACAGACACTTGCTGTGTGCTGGCCAGAGTGGGGGCGCTGGGGCCAGGATGTCCTTGTAGGCGACACGAGGTTGGGACACATGCAATGTGTACCCAGGAGATGTGATGGGGGATCGGGAAGGGGCTGCAGACGAGGGGGTGTAGGGACGTTTGTAGCACGTCAAGGTTGGAGCCGTCAGCAGGGGTGGGCGCTGTGACTGGCGTGGGTGGAGCTTACAAGCCTGTGTCTAATTCTGTGCTCCTGTTCAGGCTTATCTCCCTAAACGAGGTTCCCACACAACAGAGGCCCCAGGCCTTTGCCTGTCCTGTTTCAGCGCTGCCCCAGAGCCCCGAGGCAGAGGCCAGGCCAGAGAGTGGACGTGTTCTGGCCTGTTGACACCAACGGCCCACAAGTAGTCAAGCCTGGGAGTCACGTTATTTTTGTTTGGTGTCATTTTTTCAGTGCATCTGTGTTCTTGGCTTTGTGTTAGGTACCACGAGTTCAGGGAAGCTGCGAGGAAGTGGGATGCAAGGTCCTGGGTGAGACCTTGGATTCACAGGTGGCTGGGGCCAAGGAGCAGGGCTGGGTTACTGCTGGCAGCTGGGCACTGTCAGCCACGAGGCTGAAATCATGGGGATGCCGATGGTGGCTGCAGGTCCCTGGTAGGGGGAGGACTGGGGGGAGGAAGAGCATGTTTGGAGACCCAGACTGGCCAGGCCACCCATGTGGGCACATTGGCTGTAGCACAGATGGGGGAGAAAGTGCCAACTAAGAGGGCAGCTTGGGAAACCTGAGTAGGGAGGGAGGGTAGTGGGAAGGGCACCGTAAAAGGCAACAGGTCAGCAAGGGGTCCTGCTGGCAGCCTGGCCAGACCTCACTGGCTGAGGTGTCACAAGGCAGGACAGTACAAGATCCAGACGCTGGAAGAGATGCTGGGAGCCTGGCTGAGCTGCCTGGAGGAGGGGTGCCAGGGCGTCAGGGCGATGGGACTGTGTGTAACAGGGTGGCAGGCTGGCAGGTGCTGTGGCGTGGGAGCCTGGCTGGGGGGCAGTCAGACAGCTGAGAGGGATGATGGACAGTGATGGGTGTGCAGACATGGCTGGGACTCCTGCCCTTGGGACAATGTGGGCAGTTCCCTGTCCCCAACAGGTAGGGAAGGAGGAGCAGACACCTGGGCGGTGGTACCCCAGCCACTCCTGCTGTGCCCTGGACCATTCCCTAGGCTCCTCTAGGCCTCCTGCCTCCAACACGATCTGGGTTCCTTAGGCATGTGCTGGCCCTCTCCCTCCACTCCAGCTTGGTGGCACATGGCCCTTCAGTCCCTCACTCGTAGCACCTCCTGGCACCAGCCTGTCTCTGGCCGGTGCCCACCTCCCTGAACCCAGCACCTCTCCAAGGGAGTCTCCCCAGGTACTCTGGAGCCCGCCCACCCTCACCCCAGGCCTCCGACTCACCTGTCAGGCAGGAGGGCTCCAGCACTGCCTGCACAGACCATCTTTGCAGCTTGGCTGTGATCCTGTCAAGTCATCATTACACTTCTGTCCCAGGCTAGGGTTGCTGTGTGAGGGCCCTGGTGGGGGTGCCAGTGTTGGGCCCAATCCCACAGGCCACTTAGCAGCTTCCCAGCACTGCCCCCTCCCTAGTGTCACTACCCCTGGCACCCCCCCCTCCTTGCAGTGCCCCCTTGGACATTCTTTTTGCCTCTGCCACTCCACGGTGCCATGGAGATCAGGTTTGGTCAGGCAGGGGCTTCTTCTGGTTGGTGTCTGTTCCTGGGCCCACCCCAGGTGTCCTTGGAGCTCCTCTCTGCTGGGGTGGAGGGCATGGTCTGGCCTCTTCAAGAGGCTCTGCTCTGGGTCGAATGAGTTGGGAGGAGACGGTAAAGAGGCTGAGGAGAGAGGGCCAGTGGAAGGAGGGACAGAACTGGGTCTCCAGGGAGAGGCTGCCCTGCTCAGGTGGGAGATGAAAAGACAAAACCTGCTTTAAGGGGAGGTCAGATGCTGAGAACACCCCATGCTGTGGGATGGGTGCCAGTTCAGGACGGCACAAGATGGGTGGGGGTGCCCTGAGGGGATTCCTTAGCCAGGCAGAGGCAGGTGGGATGGGAGCAGAGTGGAGTGTGAGGGGACACGAGACATCAGGTACCAGAAGCCTGCTGAGCACTTGCTGCACTCAGGGTTGGAGCCTGGCTGGGGGTGGTCACCCACCTGTGGGTGGGACTCTGTGGTCTGTACCTCACAAACCAGAGAACAGGTCTCAGGCAAACCAGGAGCCAGCCAGATCTGCCCCAGTCTGGCCTCCTCCCATACCCCCAGCAGCTTCAGATTTGCCCCCTCCCCCCATCACACCCGGGCCCACTGCACTGGAGTTCCTCCCTCACTGGTTGTCCGGCCAGGGGTCCCTGCCCCTGGCTGCCCTGACTGTGGTCGTGACTGTGGGCCGCGTGCCTGCTGTGTGGGCCGGGCTGCTAACACTCTCTCTCATTGCTCTCTCCTGCCCATCTGCATGTGGCTGCTCTGTCTAGCTGCGCGGTGGTCCTGAGCGCCGGCTGTGTAAGTGAGCATGCTCATCCCATGCCTCTGTCCATGCGCTGCACCTGGCCGCCGGGTCTCCGCTCTGCTCGGCTTCGCGGGGCTGCGGGGCCCCTGGCAGCCTCCTGAGGCTTCTGGCCACACTAGGGGATGGAAGGGGGGTGTCATGGGAGGGGTTTTTTTCTGGAGGAGTCCCCCAGCAGGCCTCCCGACATGGCCACGCTGGCGAGGGACTGGAGGGTCCCACCAAAGTATGATTGGAAGTGAGGTACCATCTGTCAATTGTGTGTGTGGGTGGCTATATGAGTCTGAAGACGATGTTGTTTTTTACTAAAAAAGTAAATGGCAAATGACACAGCCGCTAGATAGACAGACAAAGAAAAACAACTG